TTCTCTGATGCCCTTGTGTTGGGACACCAAGGGCAACAGCACATGCTACTTGTGCAGACCATAGCTGTTGTTAAGGTTCTAGGCTCTCCATTACCTCTGAGATCAGCCATTGTCTTCCATCTGTTACTACCTGTAAGAAGAGCAGTGCCAATATTTTCAGTCCTTGCCAACCTCATATATGCCAGGATCTCCAAATTCGAGACGTGAAAATGTCTCTAGCTTCTTTTCAGCATTTATTCTCTCTTCCATTTCTTCTTCTGTATATTTGGCATCTGTTGATTCCAAATCCCTCACCATTTGGCCAAGCCAGTTTGTTCCTGAAAGGATAAAGACACCAGTAGCACATTCATTCAACTGCACTTTTTCATGTCAACCAGGCTGACAGCATATCCTCTCAAACTGGTTCACATTTGTGAACCAGTTTGGCTCTATGTTGTACTTCAGCCTGTCAAGAGGTGGGTGTGCTGGTTTTGGCTGCGATACAGTTAATTTCCCCATAGTAGCTGGTATGGGTCTATGTTTCGGACTTCTGCTGAAAACAGTGTTGATAAAACTAGGATGTTTTAATTATTGCTGAGCAGTGCTTACATAGTATCAAGCCCTTTTCCGCTTCTCGCACTGCCCCACCAGTGAGCAGGCTGAAGGTGCACAAGAAATTGTAAGGGGAAACAGGTGGGACAGCTGATCCCAACTGACCAAAATAATATTCTATACCATATGATGTCAGGCTCAGCATATAAATCTGGGGGAAGAAGAAGGAAGGAGGGGACGTTGGGAGTGATGGCATTTGTCTTCCCAAGTCACTATTATGCATGATGGAGCCCTGCGTTCCTGGGGATGGCTGAACACCTGCCTGCCGATGGGAACTGGTGAATGAATTCCTTGTTTCCCTTCTTTGCATGCACAGCTTTTGCTTTCCCTATTAAACTGTCTTTATTTCAACCCATGAGTTTTCTCACTTTTAAAGATCTGTTTCTCTCTCCCATCCCACTGGGGGGGGAGTGAGCGAGCGGCTGCGTGGGGCTTAGTTGCCGGCTGGGATTAAACCACGACACTGGGCAATAATTAACAAGGGTATGCCAAAAGCCAACAGGGACAGAGCTGTCAGCCAAACGTTGTGGAGTGCTACTCTGCTCGCTTCAGAAGCACATCCCACCCCGCAGTGGAAACAGAAGCAGACCTCTATTGCTCTTTCCAGCTCTGGCACTTTTTGGTCACCTCAGACTTCTCCCTGTGGAAATGACTGAAGAGCAGTGGACCTCCCAGCACAGGGCCAACTGAGTCATCCCTTGGCTGTTTCTGCTCTCTTTCCACAGTGCTGTCTTTGGGAACACTCTGTTCCCTCCTCCTGACCAGCTTCAGTTTATGATCTCGTTATGATCAACAGTTTGGCTTCATTCCCAGTCCCCAGCTAGGCTTCCCTAACTGGCAGCAGAAGAGATCATCAACCAAACCACCACACCGTCAAGCTCCTATCACCATCTTTGCACCAGGCTTAGCTGTCTTGGCCTCTGCAAACTGGCAAAACTCATGTGTGAAGGACTGAGCTTGGAGAGCCAAGTCTCAGCTTTCATTTAACACCTTCTGGGATGTGTAGGTGGATCCTCACACTTTAAACCATCTCTGCCTGTGTACAGCTCTACAGGCTGCACACAAAGGGGATATAATAAGGATCAACAATTCCTCTTTTTCTGCAAATGACCTAGTAAGGTATTTCTCTAAAGTGAATAAGGAAAAAAAGAAGGAATCTAAAATGCCCATAGTGAAAGAGAGAGAAAATAATCCAAGAGTCCTGGCGGCATTCATGTCTTTCCCTCCATTTAGGTACATGGGAATCACCTGTGTTCTGCAATGCAGTAAGTCTACAGAAACACCAGTTCTTCTGCCCTCATTAGCAGGATATATTCCCTGTATTGCCCTTGCAGCAAGTAGGGTAACAACATACTTTCCTGCGTTAGCTAGAGTGGTCAGAATACCAAGGGATGTGATCATCCTGCTTTACCCAACCCTGGTAAATTCACCACTTGAATACTGTCTGCTCCTGCACTGAAGCACAAGCAACTGTGAGAACCTGGAGAGCGTCTTGCTGAACTTCCATGAAATCACTGGGAGCTGGAGCAAACAAGATGCATAGAAAGGTTTGCTCAGGCTCGAGAAAAAAAAAAAATAAGGCATGGGGTAATCTCACTGCAGTCTTTCACTAACGGAGATTATAATGAAGACAGAGCCAACTCTTCTGAAAATTGGCCAGGAAATGACAAAAGGGGCATATTACAAATTAGAACAAGGGGAAGTCTGACTGCATGGAAGGAAAAAACCAAACAACCAACACCCTGCCCCCCCAGCCCCACCCCCCCCCGAATTCCAAAGAAACACTCTAGTGGGAAAACACTGCAATAGATTTCCAGTGGTGAATCTCCACCTTCAAAGTCTTAAAACTCTTCTGGACAAAGCCTTGAGCAACCAAATCTAACTTTAAGGTTAGGTCTTTCCCCTGCTTTAAGCAGGAGGTTGTATTATTTGACTTCTAGAGATACCTTACAACTTAAATTCATGATCCTATGAAGTCTGATGTCACCATAACCTTTTCTCAGGTATTATTGCTGTGTTAAATGATGATACAAACTTCTGGATTGCAGCATTGTGTACTTGACTACTTATCAAGAAAACAACACTCACCTGTTTTAGGATAGCCTGCTAGAATCACATCGTCGCTCCTGGTTTCAAAGGATTTCAGAGCTTCCAAAGTTTCTGGGCTGCTAAGTATAGCAGGGTATAAAATACCTCTGTGGGAAAACAGCATGTCTTCTGGGGGAAGGTTTTCACTCTGTGAAAAAGAATTTTCCACTATTTCGAGGACTGGAACTCTTTTCAAACAAACAGGCACAGGCTGTCTTTCCACAATGCAGAAAAACTTTATGCAACGTATTAGCAAATCGGATAGGGTGTTCACTCAGGAATGAAGGTACAAGTCACTGATTAACTTTGTTAACTCCTTTCGAAAGTATAGGGCTGGAGACTGACAATAGTGACATGGAGTCTTTGCTGCAGCTGATACTAGGAACAGGAATCTGTTGGGGCAACAACTAATAGCATTCAAAATGTTACATGGAACCAAAGAAAGACCTATAAAGGATATTCCCTGAAACATTTTTAACTGGTGAACAATGCAGTGCAATTTGCAGACTGGACAACCAGCAGTGGGCGTGTGGCTAGTGGATCTCAACCTATCTTGCTATTGACTCCACCAATGGATACACCACCAAGCGTGCAACTTCCTTCCAGGTGGTGGCTCTACCCTGCAGTCGATCACTGTAACGTCATCACTTCAGGTGATACCTCCAGAGCCAAGGACAAGCCATACTTCTCATGATTAAATACTCACATTTGAGACTTTTACTCCACCAAATCCTACAGGAGGGTTACTTTCGTGTGAAGGTCTAATACTTCGGTTCTGCATTAACATGAACCAAATTCTACCTGTGTAACTTCAGTTCTCTTTCTCTCTACATATGTTCATACTTTAATCTTCAGGTGAAATTGTTCTTGATGGGGGAGTTCTGGTATTCTGACTGATGCCTTTTCAGAAGGTAAGGAGTACTGAGATGGAGAAATAAGTACCTCCACAGGTCGTCCCAACAGAGACATGCAATACAGGAAGGCTGAATTACCCTATACAGGGGTCTTTCACTCTTTCTTAAAGGCCCTTGAATATAGTATGGTGACGCAGAATTCACGGACTCTTCACACGACCAATATGATCAGAAGAAAGCCAACTTTATTAGCAAGCCGTAGCCCTTAATATACTGATTGCATTTTCTAAACACGCGATAGCTCAGTCTATGATTGGTGCCATGCATTGTCCACGCGCTCATCTGCTATACATGATTTTCTAAGCATTGCTGTCCACGCGGCTCAACTCCCCGCAACAACTCCTCCCCTATATCCTGCTCCCATGGCCTTGCTTCTCAAGCTTATCTATCTCCTGCCCCACAAGTTTACCTCCCTGCATAACTCTCTGCACTTTCCCACATCTTATCACATTCTCAAAATACCCTCCAGCTCATTGCTAACATAAAATGATTCTACATGAGTTCAGATAGTCACGTAGTCCATATTCAGTGTGTCTGGGTTGCTTACAATATGTCCCTTGTCTTCCCACAGTATGGGTCTTGTTCGCTATACATATATCAAACCCACAGAGAGCCCCACACTGCTGTGCATCACATCCTTGTCTCTTTCTTCATAAATAGATGTTAGACACTTAGTAAACCTATACACAAGCTTAATTAAGCATGAGAAGTTGTCAAATCAAAAGCACAACTGTAAGACCTGGAAGATTGCTTACAGTTACTTACAAAGGATAATTTAAAATTATTTTCCTAGTCTCTCAAAATGCAGAACCATCAAAATAGACCATTTTATTAGAAATATTTTTTCTATCAGTGCTAGTTTAGAAAGTCTTCAGGCTTTACAGTACACTTCATACTTTAACTTTGTTCCCAGTTTAGTTCCTCCTATATGTTCTTCAAATGCTTTGTCCATTTTCTCATTCTGATCTTCAGTGAAAAGGTTCTTCCAGTCAGTTACACCACCTTCAAAGAAGCAAAGAAACTCTTGAAAAACAAGAAATTTTATTATTTTCTATTCTATAGATCTGTCATGCTTGTTCCATTGTACACTAAATGGAGTTGAACCATTTTTCAAGATAAAACTTCACTCATTTTTGCCAGTATAATTCTGTGAAGTCAGTGGAGCTACAGATCTCTGAAACTGCTATAATGCAAAAGAATGTACCTCTTCAGGTGACTGTGTCCAAAAAAGCAGCCTAAAGTCCTGTTTCCCTGTAGCTCTCTAGTCCAGTCAGTTATGACTGACAAGGTAGAAGATTATGAAGGCTTGATTAAGAATCATCTGGCAGGAGGCAGAGCTGGGTTTCTGCTCCCTTGGCAGCTTGAGTTTTTATCCAGTGACTTCTTTAATGTAAAATGCAGAAATAGATCCTGATGGCCAGGTTGGCCCTCTCATGTCTGTGTCCCCTATACTACACTGCAAAAGTAGTTCCCTTTTGTTTCCCCTTCTCTATGTATCTGATTCCTGGAAGCTTGGCTTACTTCTAACCTGTGAGTGTGAACAGTGGGTTCACAGTGGCCCTTTCAGGAGATCCTACACTCTCCTAAAAAGTGTGATCATGCCACCCAGGCACAGTTTGGCCCAGTTTTGCCTGCTCAGGTAAGCCTGCGCTTAAGAATGACTGAAGAATCTGTGATCTTGGCACAGAGATGGAGGAGTTCAGACACATGACAGTTCCACCTTCCTGCCAGTCATCTGTGGGCCTCTAAAATTTGCTCTGTGCAGTTGCTTCTCCTGTACTGGCTGCAGCCTGCTGCCAGCCTTGCTGGGTCTCTTCCTTGCCAGTGCTGTTTGATTAGTCTTCTCAAGCATAACAGTGATAATCTGCTTCATACTAATCTGTAAAGATGTGTGCAAAAAAGAAGCAAAGGATGGGTGGCCCAAGTTCTTGAGACTGTGACATTTCTACCTCTGGACCTCTTGGAGCTTCCTACCTTTGCGAAAGAGAATATGGCCAAGGGTCCCATGGGTCTTGTGACAGTTATTCTTCATTGCTTGGAAGTTGCTCCTCTCTACCACGCTCTGAAGCTCTTCCTCAGTCAGGGAAATCCCAAAGAAAGCAGCTATGTTTTTCACACCCGGGACCGGATTCTGAAAAGAGGAATGTAACATACCACATGACATTCAAACAAATTACACTGCTTTCTGAGGTGTTGGCACTTCCCTACATCTCTCTGCTGGGTACATATATAGACTACTCACAGAGTTCAGTAGAACAACTGGAGTAGTGCATAGTGTTTCTCTTCTCCATAATTATTTCAGAGGAGATAAGAGCTATCTTCCTATAGATCACAAAAGATTGTATGTGATTTACAGTAGAGCAAAATCTACACCATTGAATACATAAAAGCTCCCTCCCCCAAATTTACTGGGGATTTTGATTTACAGGGATTTGGGCTTATATTACAGTTAAAGAGAAAACAAGAATCATTTTCACACACAAAATATTTTAAAGGTTTTTAAGTTTGAATTTCACCTTTCCTTCTCTTAAAACAAGAATTTATCTCATACAGCATCACACAGTTTGAATACACTACATGAATATAATGGTTAATTGGTTTAGGAACAAATGCTCTTTGAAGTATAAAATATTTGTAAGCATTGGTAACCTCACCTCTTTTAGCTCTTCGTAAGTTATTGCCATAACATTTTCATCATCAACATATTTGTTCCATTTGGAAAGATATTCAAAGTAGCATCCCCAGGGCACTAAATAAAACAAAAGAATCCTAAGATGGAGTATAAATGAAGATTAGACAAGCTCCTTAAGAAATAAACCAGTTTTCACTCAAGTTGATCCCTCAGCCATGGGCATTATTAATCATGCCTGTGCCAGAGTTTACCCCCTTCTGTGGGAATTATGGGGGTTTGCTCCAGGCTGTTCTGACATGTGCACATGTCTCAGGCATATGATATAATTTGTAAGTCAGTACGGTAAAACTTGTTAGTATTTCAAGACAGATGTGAGTCCACCAAAGAGCTATCAGTACTCAAACCATCTTGCAGACTCCCTTAATCCAGTTTAAAACTTTTAACTCTCCCTTCTGCTGGCCATGTGATATGCCAAACTGAAGAATTTATGCAATTTTAAACTAGTGGGATTATTTTATTTCTTTTTAAATGCACTAGACTTAGTCCAAATCATTCCTCTGGTCCAATTTGGCACGTGAGTGTTTAGCTGTCTGTGTGGGTACAAGATGATGGACATTGGAGAGGAGGGGTGAAGGGGATCCAAGATACAGATAAAGAGGAACTTCCAGAGAAAATATCGCTTTGTGCAAGTGAAAGAAGTTTGTGGAAGTGCAGTTTTGATAAGAATTTATCCTCAGGCAGTACGACAAGTACTGTAAACTTTAGTTCAGATTTCTAACTTACTGTCTTTTGTACAGTAAACCAAAAAATCCTAGTGAGGCTCATTAACAAAGTGCAAGGTTTTTAGACAAAGTCAAAGTATTGAATAATTGACACAGACAGAAGGATACACTGTACTTCTCTTTGTCATGAAAGCTATGAAGAAATCATCCCAGGTATCATAGGACGGAAGAGGAGGCACGCCATTGGTAAAATGGTAAAAAGATGTAGCTAAATCTTTTGGATTGCGAACAAGCAACAATATCTAGAAAAAATTTAAACATTTTATTTGTAGAGAAAGACATAACAGACTATAGTATGATGAAAACAATAATCTACTTTAAAATTGCAGTTTGGGGAATTTCTAGTATCTTGTACACTACTTGCAGAAGTAGCAATTTCATTTTAAATTCAGAAGGTGAAATATTTCACTTTGCTTCAGTACCTTGTGAAGATAATTGCCTATGATTACTAAAATATTTTTTACAGATTAATCAAATTAATTATGCAGAATCTAAGTACATTTTTGCTTAATACAAGTATCATTCATCATTTAGGTAGTGGGGAAAAATCACTAAACCACAAATTCTCTCTGAAACTTGACACACTGAAGCCTTCACTTGTGGCAACACCATAAAATGCCTCCCATGGGAAGTTGTGTCAAAATACATTTTACTGCTGAAGGATTTGTTCGCTTCCCCCATCTCACTTGCGGAGACTGACACAAAGGTGTGAATAAGGATGAACTGAGATTAAGTGAGATGAACGGCAGTACTTAAACAGGCATGTAGAAATGGCCTAGCCTGGCCATTACGCATAATATTCCGAAAACTGGCAGAAAAATACTAAATTGGCTTTAAAAAAAATCCGTTGGAGTGTTTGCTTTCAAGACATTAAAATCAGCACTCACCTTGGCTTTATTTTTGAAGACAGACCTAGGGAGATTTTCAGGAAGGAGATGAGTACATATAACTCTTCGAGAAGATAATTTTTTCATTCGCTTTAAGAATTGGAAGGAGAAAAGCGGACAGTTCAGTTAGTACAGGTATTGTTTTCATCAGCCATTGACAAAATATTGCCTTGCGAAACTTATCAACAGTTATTGGCTGACAGAAGTACTTCTTTTTTGTGAGTGTTATCCTGGAATCTTACAGGACTGCTCTGAGCAGCTTTAATCTTCAAAAGCCTCTAAGAACGAGAGACTGCAAAAAGATACCCGTTGCTAATTCTCTTCAGGGATAATGAATTTAACATGTTCTGTTAGACAAGGGATCCAATCTAAAGGTAAGATGCAGACTAACTGAGTACATGTGCAAGCTGAAGGATCTCAAGAAGAGAGAGAAGGAAGAGCTAGTAAAAGAGACAAAAGTCAGTGTTTCAGTATTTCAGTATTTGACGTTTCATGAAACTCTTCTTAAATACAAAACATGCTACACTGAATTTTTGCAGTTCTTGCATATCTAATGAGTATGTGCTCCTCTCAAGCCCTCTGAAGTGTCCATTTATCCCTCAGCATTTGGCAATGCAGATGAGATTTATCCTGACCAGATACCACATGCAGAGAAGTGGGAGAGTTCTTATCAAACAGTGGAATATTTCACACACCATACATTCAGTATTTGAATCATAGAATCATAGAATCGTTATGGTTGGAAGAGACCTCAAAGATCATCAAGTCCAACTATATACCCGATGCCACCATGCCCGTTAAACCCACTAAGCCATGTCTTGAAGAATGTTTAAAAAGGAAACAAATAGGGAAACAAGAGCTCCTCACCCTGGGGAGCCCATTCCAATGCCTAACGACTTGAAGCATAACATTCTGACAAATTTCATAAGTATTCTGTGCCCACCTCAAATTTCTCAGTATCCCCAATTTCAAGGTAGGGGAATTCTGTTTCTTCATAATTCACACTGCTTGCTTTATTCTGCATTTCCTTTTCAAATATGCCTGCCAAATCAGTTAAGATTTGAAGTAGCCAGTTTGTGCCTGAAAGGGGAAATATACAGAATTGTTTGTAAAACCTTGAGAATAAACAGAAATGGATTTGTCAGGAAAACCAAGAGGTAGGTAGTACTACCAGGTGAGTTGCCTGGTCTCCTTTCATGTGATATAATCACACCCTACTATCTGGACTATCATCTCTCAGGATCCTACCTTTCTTCTTTATAAGGATACATTTCTGCAACTCGAATGGCTCAGTACATAGTAAATTAACTTGTCTATTGTAAATTAACTAATAAAGGAGAAGAACCACTAAGATTCAAATAGGAAAACAGGCATCAATGTAATAAATTTTTATTGTGACAAATATAAGGGGGACTGGGGTCGTAAACCTGTACCTCAAAACCTAGCATGTTATATATGTTTTCTGACGCACTGCACAGGATTATCTTGGGAGGAAAGATGGGTCACAAAACTTCAACACAGGAGCAGAACTAGATCTGAAAATTGTGCTGTTTGTGCTCATTTTCTTTACCAATAGGCAAAAGTTCTCTAAAGTGACACTTGCTATACTCATTTATTATATTTTTATTCAAAACATAAAAAAGAGCCTGTAGACAACTTCCATCTTTAGTTTACCCTTTCCTAACTTCTGGACACTGGGTTCCTACATCTTCGCCTCTACAGTCTTAATAACTGCATCCTGGTGCATAGCATTTCTTCAAAAAGAAAACATGATGAAAAAGCAAAAACTTTACAATCCTGTCAACTGTGACTATCTAGTGTAAGACAGTGTGAATCCAATTGCTGGAGGAGTGAAACAGCTACATTAAAATGCATACGAGACAAACGTACTCCAAACCTGTAGCTCTGATATGGACAGTATAGGGTGCTTGCAGGCAGCTGGAGCAAAGATGTACGGTAAACTCACAACCCTAGCAAAGATCTCCTCTTGATTTCCCAACAGTCAAAGATCAGTGTGATCACTTCAAGTGTTACAAAAATAATTTTTGATAGTTATGGATTTCAGATATTCTTGGCATCTATGTGAAATAAACTAAAGAATATGCAGCATGGCATGTGAAGGTACCAAAAGCTCCACTTTAGGTAAAAATATAAAGCTATTAACTTTACAAATATAAA